TTGCACTAAGAATTTTCCAGTTCTACTTCTCTGGATTTAATGGCAATCAAAACTTGATCACCCTGTTTATGGCAATAAAAAAATGTATGTACAGGGTGGGCCAAATTGGACACTTTTAAAGGGAAATTCCTATTTCCAAACTAGATAGACGAAAGCTGATGTCGGTGTCTGATGGTCAATTTTTATGACTTATGACAAACTTGATAGTGAAAACCGCACATCGATATCTATCATCGTTTCTGAGTTACAGCATATTTTCCGAAAATGTGCATTTTCGAAAACTTGCTGTAACTTTTTTCTGTCGAAAAGTTGTTGTTTCTATGAAAACATTTCCAAAGCACTTTCTCACGTATAGGATTCAATGGTATAAGTAATTTATTTTTTCAAAGTATATATCAATAGTTAATAATGGAAAAATATTTTTTTCAAATTGGACACCCCGTATATTTCTGCATATTTCAATAGAGCTTGAAATTACTATTCCATAAATATAGCACACTCGGTATTTTACTGAAGTCATCTTTGAAATGCAGAGCTTTTCTGGTTTTCACATCTAAATTGCATCTAAACTTTGAAACGCACATCTTGAACAAGTAGGCTATGGACGACGCGGTGATAAAACAGGCTCCTCAATTTGTGGTTTTCGTTCAATTCACAAACATATTTTCAATGAAATTTGAAAATTATGAAAAATGGGATATGATAGTCTGTTTCATACAAACCGGGGAAAATGCAGAAGCAGCAAGCGATTTGTACCACGAGAGGTATCCAGAGAGAAGACAACCATTTAGAGATATTTATGCGAGATTGCGACGCAACCTAATTGATGATGGTCAATTCGAGAAGAAAAGGCCAAAAGTATATAAACCAAATAGGGATAGGGATAGGGATTTGGAAGAAATAATTGTTTTAGGAGCTGTTGAAAATAATCCTTTCGTGCTCTCCAAGCGATAAAAAAAAAGACGGACTTTAACAAAGCACAAAAATTCAAGCCATACAGGACCAGAGAAGTTGATCACCTCATACCAGGAGATTTTGAACGCCGCATATGAATTTCTGCCAATGGTTTCTAGAGAATTGTAATCGAGTGCGTGATTTTCCGTTAAATTATATTTGGACAGACGAAGCTTATGTGAGCAGTGCCGGTATTTTCAACCGCTACAATTCGTACTCTCACCTCTCAGAGGTATTTGGAAATTTTAAGGAATCAAACCCCTTCTTGACGAATTGCCGCTAATGGAGCTCAGGGAAATATATTTTCAGCAAGACGGGGCTCCCCCTCACAACACTGCAATCGTCCACAATTTTTAAGCAGCGAATTTTGGCAATAATTGGATAGCCAACCAAGGTCCCAACCGTTGGCCGACCAGGTCACCGGACCTTACGCCTCTGGACTTTTACCTCTGGGGAAGGATGAAAGATCTTAAATTAAATAAATTGCCGACCCACTCTAGACAGAAATTGGAAGCGGTAGTGACTGTGGTAGTGATGCAGAGTTTTGCTTCTCTCACTTCCATTGAACTAATCAATGCGGCAAGACATGTTCGGAAAAGGTGCCGCCTGTGCCTGTGCGTAGGAGAGAGAAGCTGGTAGACATTTCGAACACCTTCTCTGAAGGAATATTTTGTTCTTGTTCGTTCTTTATTATTGTTTTTGAAGTTCAAATATCATTTTTAAATAGAGTTTTGATTATTTTCAGTTCAGTTGTGTTGAACAAATGAGTTTCAATTACTGCTATGAACAGCTTTCTTGAAATTTGACGGCTTTGGAATTCCTTGCCAATTGAAGTATTCCCAAGAACTTATTATAACCTTCAAAAGTTCAAAGAAAATTCCAAAGCCTACCTCCTCTCCCTATCTTCCCGCACGATGCTCCACGAACACTATAGGAATTTCCTTTCGTGCGCTCCAAGAGATGAAAAAAAAATCGCCTTCTCTTTTATCGGCGCATCTAAAAACTTGAAAGCACTGTATTTCAAAAATGACTTCAATAAAATATCAAGTGTGCTATATTTTTGGAATGGTGAGTTTAAGCTCTATTGAAATATGCAGAAATATACAGGGTGTCCCATTTGAAAAAAATATTTTTCCGCTATTAACTATTGATATATACTTTGAAAAAGTAAATTACCTATACCATTGAATTCTACGTGAAAAAGTGCTTTGGCAACGTCTTCATAGAAACAACAAATTTTCGACAGGAAAAAAGTTACAGCAAGTTTTCGAAAATGCACATTTTCGAAAAACATGCTGTAACTCAGAAACGATGACAGATATCGTTGTGCAGTTTTCACCATTGAGTTTGTCATAAAAATTGACCATCAGAAATCAGACACCGACATCAGTTTTCGTCTATCTAGTTTGGATATAGGACTTTCCCTTTAAAAGTGTCTAATTTGGCCCACCCTGTACAGTCTGTCCAGTTTTCGATGCTTTTACGCGATATCTTATTTATCTTTGGATAACACCAAACATCGGTCCAGCATGTGTAACGCACACGCCTCTCCCGAGCACTTTCCAAGTATCTGACCGCGAACTACAAACTATGCGCATTTAAAGTTTTGATATTTTTCAGTATTTCTCAAGTTTCGCAACTGAGTTTCATTAACACATCTTATGAAAGGTTCATTCCAGGTCTTCTATATAGTCAATTAACCCATTAGTGTAGAAAGTTCGGAAACAATTGATTTCAAGTTTTTTCTCTGTAAGAAGTTTGTTTTTGTGATAGATAGAATACTTTCTGTTGAAAAATTCACCCCTAAAAGGGATACGTTGTACACCTGATAACATAACAACAATTATTGCATACATGGAATTAAATGAAACAGTATTTCTGGTGTAACCGTTTATCGCACTTGGGAAAGATGCCGGTGCCAACAAATACTGTTTGAGAGAATTTTGGATACATCATTATCTGATGACCGGTTCATCCGTTCGTTGGGATATTTTCAGTCACAATCAAATATAATTATTAGTATGCCTAGGCCGCGAATTTACTTTTTGGCCTGCCAAAAGGAAAGTTGTCGCCGAGGCCGTTTCTGGGCGGGGCACGATGATCTTGAGGAGGTCGCATACGACTGCACAAAAAAGGATATTCTATACATATTATATGTACAGATATTTCTGCTCAACTATCGTAAAAACTGATAATTGAACCAACAACAGAACAGCTCGAAAAACTCAACTGATGTGACATTAGGAGACTTCCTCTCTACATGGAAGTCTTTGGAGACCTCTGGAGATTTCTGCTAAACATATACCTGCTTTGACGATTTTGGCTTTCTGAACTTTTTTCTGGATGAGACATACATCCACCATCAGTTGATTTAAAGTAAATAGGTAGTCATGACTAGCGATATATTGTGTTAATTCAACTTTCAAAGACACATTGAGCACGTGTAGTCACAGTAGAGAGTGTAGTGTATCTGGTCCCGGACGAATGGCTTGGTTTTCGTCATCTGACGACTATGTTTTCTTCAAGCTGTTAAAGTCCTGCTACAAAAAATTGACTCACCCTGTATAAAGGACGTTATAGTTATTCAATGGCTAATACTAATGATATATGTAGACATCAAAGAGAACTTACCCTAAGTGATGAAAGTGTGATAATTATGGTGTCTTTATGATTTCAGCCATGAGTAACGTGTTTGTTGGGTTACAATCGAACCCAAGAGCCCACAGCAGAATTTTAAAACCACCTGGTGGAGTTACTTCGATAGTATTGGACGATGTACTATTACCATCTGTGGATCCAGACCGAATGAAAAAAAGAAACCAGGAAAAATGGGCCAAGGAAAGAATAACAGCTCAGAATAATTCACAAAATCACCATCGAAATGATGATACGGCGAATGGTTCGGTGGCGAATAGCAATGAGGAAATATCCATAAAAAGTAATTCCGAGGATAACAGCAATTCCAGCGAAACTATCGGCAGCAATACACAGACCAGTAGTAGTAGTACTACGGCAACAATAATAAAAACATCAGTTTCGTCATCCAGACAAACCATTCCAGAACAAGAAACAGAAGTAATAGTGGTAAAATCATCTAACCAACGTGTACCACCAGGTGGATATTCGAAAGGTCTTTGGTAAAAAAAAAACAACATAAAAATGTGCCCTTATATCCAATATTTTAATCTGATCTGTAACTTTATCAAAGAAATTTAGTCATTGCAAATTGTTTATTTTCACCAAAGAGATACCTATATCAGGTGACCATAAGATTATTAGTCCACGATGATAGAACAGGAGCACTATCAATATTTTGAATCGAATATCAATTGTAACTCAAAAATGTATATTACACCCTATATATACTTGTCTTTGAAAAAATGTTGGTTTAATTCAAACTCAAGGCAATTCAAGTAATAAGTAGAAATCAGTATTCGCACCACTTCCTGTTAAAAGTTATACTGATTATGTTTTGTTTATACATACGTATATTTCATGTAAAAACAACCAAATGGTCATTTTCAATCAGCATTTTCTATAAAACTGTCGAAGTATATATAGGACTTGATACATGATGATACATTGTAATAGTCGGAATTACTTGTGAAAAAAATAAATAATTTCGTGGTTACCCGGTATATACATTTTTGGGATCAAGGTTATATCAGCATAATGAAAGAATTCATTGTGAACTTGTTTTCGAATCAGGTGATGTGAAGACACTAAACAAAAAATGTGTCCTATATTTACTTGACTTTATTTTATATCTATAAACACAATAACGCAGCAATCATAACCTAAAAATGTATAGGCCGCGTTATTTTGTGAGAAAAAAAAGAAACGAACACATGAAGAGCAAAAGAAGAGGGATAGAGAATAAAGATAGAGAGAGAGATAGAGAAAATGATTAAATATTGGATCGTTTCCTGATTTGAGTTCCGTTTACTGCGATTATTGACGTATAAAATGTTCGTTATGGATTTTAAAGAGAGGTTTTTTGTACTATTGAAAAATACAAGTTGAAAAAAACACGTGTTTGATTTTTTCCATTTTAATTCAGATTCAATAAAATATGATGAAACAAAATAATGAATATTGAAAACAATTTTGTATACAATCAGGCATGAATGATGATAAATATAATATTTTAAAACAGTGAGGAAATATCATCTAAATTTCATTAAGCAAATAATTGTCAATCAATTTATAATTAACCTACATACAGTATTCAATTTATAAATAATTGAAATATTTACAAAAAATGCAATATTTACAAATGACAAAAGTATGTTCAGTGTAAAAGTAAAAATATAGAGATAGATCTACAATTATTATTCTGAAATTGGGGCTCCTATTATAATAAATTACCTAAAAACAATGTTGAAAGAATTAAAAATACAATTAATTGTAAAACTAGGTTCATAAAATTCAGTTCTATACTATGGGTATAGTTATTATAGTGTTTCTAATTCTTTCTCTTCATCCGCAATTGCTGTTAATACAAAATAATGGACCTGACAAAAATACCTTTAAAACATTTAAAGAAGTGCTCATTCTAGAAATAGTTATATTTTTCATAGCTTCACAAAACAGCTCATCAAAAATAAATGTCCAAGGGAAGTAAGGAAGGGCATAAGTGCAATACATCTAAAGTATGGCACACTTTCTAGATATTGAAAAAATATGACATTTTTCAAGATCAATCTACATAATAGTAGTCAGTAGTCTACTGATATAAGTGAAAATTCATGCCTTATTAGTGTGGTTTCAGGTATACACGTCTAGCAAAAATAATTTTCCAATGGATAAACGATTCATGGGCGTCGTTGCCCCACCTACTCGAGTCTGGCACGTGTGGCAAACGATAATCCTAAATAATTCTTGCCAAACGTGTATGCTAGTATTCTGAATGACGTGTCAAAAGTCTCCGAGGTAGGAGGTACACGTCAAAAACCTTGCTTCGAAATGACATTTCACGATTTTCTCGATTTTCTTTCTAGAGAAATACTTCCTATGATGAATTCTTGCAAAAATTATGTTTGAAGAAGAAAATTATCTTTAATATTTTCAAACAGAAACGTAAAATGTAAAGACAAAATCAATCATGGAGATAGTTTGGAAAATGTTGCTACGTTAGGAGAAAGCTTTTGATAGTTACACCTTTGTATGTATATTCCCTAATTATGGAGATATAATTCTGAAATTCGCAGGAGCGAGAGGCACAGAAGTGATCCTCAATGACTAACGGGAATTCTCGTCAATGATATACACTGCTCTCCAATAGTCATGGAATCACCGATGTTTCCTAAAATTTTATATTAGGAGTCAAGATGGGTTGACTACGGGGGGCAGTGTATATCATTGATTATCCCATTTGGTCATTGAGTAGCTCTCTTGCTCCTGCAAATTTATAATATGGAAATATACAAGGATCTATCCATCAGAAAAGTGACACACTGCAAAGTAGTGACTTCCCAACCGAATTCGGCCTCTATAATAATGTTCCCCTAATGCAATACATTTTACTTTTTTTGTCAAATATATTTTTTTGCGGGGATTCATCATGAAATTAGCATGGAACTTTTTTTCGTAGAATTATCGTATCTTTTTATTTGAATTGATCTCGTTTGGTTGTAAAATCGATAGGAAAAGAGTAAATCGCAAAAACCCAACGCGAAGCAAGATTTTCGACGAGTAAATTGCTACCAAATATCTGGTGTAGCTTCCTACCTACAAGACATCAACACGTTATTCAGGACACCAATATATGTATGTAGACTTGAAACCAAACTAATACCATGGTATAAAATCATTCCCTATCCTAAAATCCTAATTTCCCTGGACCATAGAGGATTCAGCATTGTTTGCACACAACTATTTCATACCATAATATGTATATGAAGATGAATTTAAATGTTCAAGATCAAAATAGATCAAGCTGAAATACTTAGGACTATCTTTTATACGCGATCAGTCCTAACAGAATGATTATTTGACAATTATTATTGTGATAATAATCATTATGCGTTAGTGTATCCCACTAGACTTACTTTGTCTTGAAAAAAGCTGAAAGTAGTTTCTGCCAAAATGGGAAAATAGCGATGTATTTAATTACGGAACGTTTCGCTGAATTCTCTCACAGTCATAAATTCACAATAATACTTGATGAAAATCAAGATCAAAATGAAGAATCAAAAATAGATTGAATCAGCTGTAAAATCCACATGTAAAAACTGTATTTGGGGTTTAAAAATGGTCAGGACAAAGTGGCACATTGCATAAAAAATCAATCCACCTTTAGTTGACAAAAATTGACTGAAAATAATAAAAATATTAAAACATTATGGAATAACAAGATAAAATCAGCTGTAAAATCCACATGTTAAAATTGTATTTGGGGGTAAAAGACGGAAAAGGTCAGGACAAAGGGACACATTGTATAAAAAAATTGACCAATCTTTTGTAGACAAAAACTGTCAGAAAATTATGAAAAATAATATAATAAATATGAAATAACTTCTTCCAAAGATAATTTGCAATGTCCTGAACTTCTAAACAAGGGTATATTTTACTTCATACAGGGTGTCCGTGAAGAGAAGGCCAATCTGTTAACTATATATTCCTTCAATAATAGTAATAAAATAACTTCTATATATTTCTAATTTTGGGCCTCTATGTTTGATATACTGGATATCGAAATTTGAAATTTAAATCCGTGTTTAATAAGATGATGTTTTCAAATTTGGTACATTACTTCAACATAACAATTCACAGTTTTTGAGTTTAATTGAACAAAAAAATGATGAGTCATGTTCAAGTTATTAAATTTCACACGTTGACGCACTTATTTCAAAACATGGGTCCCAAAATACAAAATGACATTATAAGTAGTATAGGGTTAACGAGCAGTGCTGCCAACTCAGCCATTTTATGGCTAGTTCTAGCCATTTTCAAACTCATCTAACTACTAAAAATTGCATCCAGTAATTCAGCCATTTTCAATAGCTATTTTGTATTCTGAATTTCTTCAACAATATTTTCATTTTTATAATATCCCTATAGATAGTTCATTATATTGTTTGTATTTCTATGGATTTTGTACTCCATACTTTAAACTTTGTCGATACTACTAGAGTCAGTTGAGTCGTCTTGAGTAGAGTCTAGCTCTAGATCTGGCTCTAGACTTGAACTTTTAATGTCAGAATCGGAGTCCATGGTCAGATGTCTTGTATTTAGCCTTTTTCCAACAATCATCTAGCCTTTTATTTAAATTGGCTGTTGGCAACGAGTTGACCTCTCTCACACGGATACCTTGTGAAACAGTTCTGAAGATATATCCCTAAAAACTATAATTCAATCTTTTTGAAATATTCTTTTTCTCTTCCGATGATGTTCGATTGGGTGTCGTGGTCCATTTTTTGTATGTGTGAGATTCTCATACCATGTTCATAATCGGCGATGCACAATACTGTGTCCACAAATATCATAATCGATAGAAGCAAAACCAAAAGTACGTCGAGTTCCACTTCAACCATAGCTAATCACTTTAAAAAAATCTACCCGACCACCATCACCCTAACTATAGTCATTCTCGAAGCGATCGTCATGCTCCCAGCCCTTCGACTTCTTTTTGTCCCCCCAATCCCCACCCTTCGGCTTACTACTCCACCCTTTGGAGTTGTCGCGCTCCCTCCAGTTGGCATCATCGGCGGTTTTACTTTTGTTCAGTCGGGCACCAGCTCCCAGAATGGGCCTGCCGGGTTTCCCCGCATTTTGGGACGCCTCCCGCCTGTTTAGATTCGAATTTTGACTAGAGGAGTCCGACACGAACCCGCTGCTACTCGAGTACCCTAGAGTCGAATTGTTGATGTCGGAGGTCGATAATTGTGATGTCTGTTCGGTGGTGCTGGATTCCAGTTTGTTAGACAGCTGCAGGACGTTGACGTTGCTCTGGTAGTTCTCTAGGGTTTTGTTGTCTTGGGTTTGTACGCTGAGGGTGGCTGGTGTACCCTGGAATAGACAAATCTTGTTTGATGAATTTATGAGGTAGTACTGGTATTCATTTTTTTTTTGTTCTGGTTCCCACGAAAAGGGATATCCTGTAATGTTCAGAGAACATCGTGAGAAACAAGGGAAATAAGGTAGGAATTGATGTTCTTTTTAAATTTCTGGAGGTTAAATGTCTCGTTGGATGAACGAGTCTTTGGAAAGAGATGGTCTGCAGGTCTCCAAAGTGACCACGAAAGGGTGCGAAGCCTCAACTCGACGGGTCAATCTCGCGGGGACTGCCAAGGAGGAACAATTGTTGATGTTTCAGAAGAGCATCGTCCATGAAAATGTCTATAAAATAGAGCCAGATAACCAACTTTTCTACGGTGTTCCAGAGAAGTGAGTGAGTTTCTGAGCGGGGCATCACCCACGAGATGAATTGCCCTTTTTTGGACAGAATCCACAGTTTCAGCTTATGTTTGGGTGCTGCACTCCAAGTATGAGAACAGTATTCCAGGACAGGTCGGATCTGTGCCTTATAGATCATAAGCAGCATACTGGAATTGGAATAACTCCTAGCCCGAAACAGAAAACCAAGTTTTTGGGATGCACTTTTAGCCATATTGATTTCACGTGATTTTCCCAAGAAAGGTTATTGCTGATAGTAACGTTTGGAACGTTTGGCACGATTATTTTTTCACATGTCAAAATGTGACGTTTTCCTTGTTTCAACCAATAGCAATCCGTTATTCTACCCAATCATTCGGTATTATACTGATAACACTGCATGGACCTCCATAATTTACAATGAACTGGTCTATAAATGAAAAGGAAAGACTCAAGACTCACCTGCGTTAATTATCTTCTTATTCCTATATGTGTGATGATTGATACAATAATACTGATTATTACTAGGCTGAATGAAAACTATCCCTTCCATAAATATAAACAATAACATTCTTAGGTTATAGGTTATATATAGTTGAGTGATGATGTTATACAACAAATCTGTCAACAAAATAATCCTTGTGGTGAGGGTATCTTCTTTTTTTTTTCGAAGTGATTAATCGAAAATAATACTGTGAAGGCATTCACTGTTGGGGCCGATAGTGATTCGCTATTTCAATGAAGTAATTTTTCACAAACAACCGTGAGCGAACCTCTCGGCCGGTAATTTTCTGTAAACTTGTTTCCACGCGGATTATTTGTTGCGCCCTGTCTCTAGATGCGTCAGTTCAGGTCAGATTGAATTCGTGCACACCAGATACTAGCCTCTATCAACAGGGCGCAACAAATTATGCGAGCGGCCAAGAATCTACAGAGAAATGAACACAATGGAAGTATATGTATAAATACTTTCTGACTTGTGAAAAAAACCAGTTTTTTTCTTTGTCAATCCTACCCCGATACGACGTATTTACGAACTTTGTCGGCTTATATTTCAGAAACTAAACATACAAAAGTTTTTGAACTCACATATTCTCCTAATGAGGCATCCCACAATAACATAGTAAAATTTCAGCCAATTCGACCGAGAGTCAATTTCCTCTGTTTTCGTGCAGGGTCTTTTTATATCGTTTCAAAAATAAGTGAGCTAGAGGGGGGGGCATTTATGGTGAATCACCCTGTACTTACATAGGCAGAATGATGTTTTTTGTAATCCTGATTTCCTGATTAGTCAAAAAGTATGAAGCGAATTATTCACAAACTGGCTGAATAGTTCAGAAGCCTGATGAAAAGACAGAACATAAATATCTATTTCAATACTTAGAGTTGAATCTTGAAATAAATAGATTTAATATCTCGGGTGTTTAATTATGAACAGCAGAGCTTATCATACAAATATTCACACTAATTATTAGTGTGTGTAACAAGTAGTGGTGTGCCAGTACCATTAAATCTTTCTGATTGGATGTGGCTTGAGAGAACAATTTAAACCATGAATTTATAGGGGAGAACACAACAAGAATCTTTGTCATTGAGATGACAAAATGAATGTTTAATAATCAATACCACTACATTGTCTAACATATTCATTCATAATCTGTTTCCTTCAATTTCCACAAATCACAAATATTTCAATAAATACTCCAGGAAAATACGTCAGGTAATATTGTAACACTACAATGTTTCAACACCGCCATAGAATTACCCGTAGTAATATCAGAAGATTGTGAGAATATACTAAAAATAATTGGAAAGATCTAGAAAACATGTTATGTTATATATAGATATTTCAAACAAAACACAATCTTCAAATCATTCTCGCGAAAATAAGCGTCCTTCGCGGGGTTTTTGAAAGTTGTCAAAGCTGTCGATTTACACTGTTTACATTCGGTTTTGGATGGTCACATCCATCAAAACAAACCGCTCAGAACTGTTAACGAATTATTGTGGGGTGTGGTGCTATTTTCTATGGTGAATAAATGTAAGATGACTGATATATCTAAAAAAACACAAATTCCTTATGAATCGCCCCATTTAAGAATACACAGAAAATCAAAATGGATTGTTTTCGTCCATAACTATCTTTGCAAAAATAAAACCCTTCAATTATCAAGATATTACCATGCATGGAAGATAGTGTAACAAATCTTTGTTGTTTATATAAGTGCCAATAAGTGAACAAATAGCTTTGAAGATCATTTCAAAAGTGATCCATCAGCTTTTCATTCCCAAGCCTTACTATGATATTTGAATTCAAAATAATCAAGTAGGTGGAGGTCTGCAATATCTTCAAGCTAGAGTTTAATAAATGGCAGCTGTTTCACTTTCTAATATATCTTACCTGGAAATTTGCCATGGCTGTATCACCCATTTGTTCTAGATAGAATTTATGTAATTCGCCAGGAAGCAGACCAAATCTGCTGCTGGATACATCAATAGAAAGGAGTAACCACAACTTACTCTCCTTAGTTAAATTCTCATCGGATACCAGTAATAAACGAGCATTATTCAAGAGTTCAACGAGTTTATCAGAAGATTCTGATTTGATAGAGGATCCATTCAAGAACAGCTGGAAGTACACAAATACATATACAATTCATTATAATATGGAATGGTATGTATGCAAATTATTAGAGCAATCTGAGGAGATTTTTGTTTGCATTGAAATCTCCAAAGATATGCTACTTAAGTTGAATACTTATATGTGTAATCGGAACTTGTCGTTTGTTGTGTCAATGTATTTTTTCTACTTATGGGTAGAATCGTTACCATCGAGACAATATGGTAACGGTAGAGTAGAATGCCTGGTACCCCAATCCCCAGTCTAAACAGACAAATCGGGTGATATGAATCCCGCAGTTTTGAAATTGGTATGATTGATGGCACATCAGTTTGGTACCAACACAACATTATAATAAAGTACCTTAATCTTGCAGAACCAATCAATATTTCATTTGCTATTTGCAAGTCTGAAGTTGTCTGTGGTGCTTGCAATATTTAAAGGTGATCCAACAATTCTGCCTAATTTCTCTCCACGATTTCAAAAGCTATTGAGAAATTAGTGAAAATACAAATGTGCAGATTCTTAGGAAAAAATAATATTTCATCATCATGTCAATTTAGTTTTCAAAATTCTAAGAACATCAATGGTATAGCATATCTTGATGTTCAAAAACATGAATGAAATCTAAAATAAAATATATGACTAGTACAAAATATGCATGTTCCAGTAGTTCCAGATATATATGTCATATGCCAACAACCCGAAAATCTCGTCCGAATTGCTCCCAAATCTCATATAATCTAAAAGAGAGATCTACTTCATTTTCTCTGCAGAAGTTATTAAATTCTAAGGACCTCTGCAAATCGTCAATGGGCTTTTCCGGTATCATAAAATTATACCCTTTTTCGCTATAATGTTATAAAGGGAAGTTAAAAACGTTATCCTGACCACATATTCATCGAGAAAATCGAATGACGAATGAATTATTTAATAATGAAAATTATTGAAAATGGCATTGCAATACCTGTGAATTCAAACGCTACTGAGCTGTGAGCAGTGTCTGCTTGCAATTGATTGGTTGGAATTCTGACAGCTGGGAATCACTCCGCTGTTGTCAGATCTCTATAAATTCCTTGAATTGATCCTATGTGCAAGATGGTGCAATAAGCAATGCAATGATTCGGAATGACTTTGTAGTAGGTGATTTGGTGATTAGTTGATTGGTAATTCACTGCTCTGTATTCCATTAATTTCAAGATTTGCAGGCATTGAACAGTAAGACGCTTTTTATATACTCAGTTTGGTTTCAGTTAATGTTGAAATTTTGGTGACTAATTATTGTTATAATCAACAAGTTGAACAGTGTTACCACAGAATACCCAACAATCAGAAGTGCTTCTCTGGTCTGGTAGGCGCCTTTGATATTTTAGGATCTGTTTTCTGTGATCCGCCATGTTCTTGATCTTGGGTTAGCAAGCAGGGCCGTTCTAAGGGGAATGACAGGATTGTACTAATTGAATTTAATAACTTTGTGTGTAATTTATCGATACCAGTAAAATGTACAATTCTCACAAAATTACACTTACACTTAATTCAATGAAAAATAGTTTACAAAAGCCTACTTGTATTTTCAGTAGGACAGGTTTGAACACAAACAATGTTGAAAATTTAAATTGATAGATTTGACCAGATTTTCATCAGATTATTTTTTCAAGTTGTTTTATGGAAAAACTAAACTCATTTTTTTCTCAATTGCAGTTCTGCTTGGTCAATAGGTATACAGGATATATTCATTCAAGTGACTGGTCAGATGAATAATGAAACCAAGGCTTAGAATTGTTTTTGCAAACTATAGCAGTGCACACATGACCACTTCTAAGTTTTTCTTTGAGCACTCATTTCTACAATTACAGATTGAGCAGATAAATAATCTATAATAATTGGCTTCTTATTCACAACAAAATAAGGTAGGCACCAATTTGAACAGTACAACCCCAACAACAACACAACACAGCAAAAATAGAATATGTACTTAAATATGGCAATATTTCACATGATCATTCCACAGCTCAGAATTCGATGTAACATGTTAACATAGTAAACAAGTAACCCAGGAAGACGGCCGACAACCTGCGCCGTTCAAATGAGCGGATCCACTTCCGAATCCACTCCCGCTCAAAATATGGTATTCTGATTGTTGGATATTCTGTGGTGTTACTATATCACAAGCACTCATTCCCAGAAAATAGAATTGCTAATCTGGCAACTGTGGCTATATGAGAAAGAGATATTGCAACTTGCGTTCACAAAATGTTGCCAAGTTAAAATATACTTATGAATATCCGACTAATCATAGCTTTCTGTCCAAATTGGCAACATTGTCAAGAGAATTACCAATCCAAATTGCTGGCGCACTGACGTCACACGTTTCAGGACCATCTCTGATCATTTGCATTTCAATTTTGCTTGTTCATTTTGGCGTTTTCAATCAGTTTTTATATGGTATTTCAGAACCATGTGTTTCAGGATATATTTTTTATAGAAATTACTGGAGAGGCCCATTCCAGAGGATAATCTGAATAAAACATTTTATTCAAATGGGCATTATTCAAGGCATTGATAGCTTATGACCAAAAAATTGTACAACTTTCATAACACATCAATATACCCATAATAAGAGTTTTCATAGTAGAAGAACCATAATTGTGACTTCTGTGTGATTAGTTTTTGGTATTTCAGTAACCGATTTAGTATTTTGAATTTGAAGCAACTATTTTCTGAATAAATATGGTTTGGCAGGTCAAAACTTTAAATAAAAGTTAGCCACAAAAATCCTAGCTTGACATTACACAATTACAAAAAAAAAAGATTCAGTGGTAGTTTGAAGGCTTGCTTTTGTTTATGGAAAGCATGGTTAAGATATTGAAAATATCAAATACCCACACTAAGACATTGCACAATGACATATAATTATATAACAACAAGTGATAGCTATTTTATAATTGCACAGGGAATTGAACAGTTGCGAAAGTATTTACAGTAATGGCAATAAAAATTGGAAGGAATCAACATTTAGGACCCACCAAGGAACCCACAACCTAATTCCAAACTTGTTGACATGATGTTAATTTTGCTTTAATGAACTTCATTTTTGCCTTCATTAATGCAAAACTATTTTCTAAGCTTTGATTTAAGGGAATTTAACAGTTTGGAAAGTATTTACAGTAATGACAATAGAGATTTGAATGAATAAACATTTAGGACCCACCACCTAATTCCAAACTTGTTGAATCTGAAAACATGTTTTTAATAAAATATTTTTGAGTTGTTGAAAAAATGAATTAGTTTGGCTGGATTATATCTTACAATTTACAATGGCAAATAATAGCAAATAATGTGGTATCACTAAATGGATCCAAGTAAGAGGATTAATCAACGCTTACCTGTGTTGTGAACAATTGAAGGTCCTCTGAACTTCCAGATTCCAGAAGCATTTCCAGATAGGCTATTAATGGAGCTGCCATAAAAGTAAACAACTCACCATTAGCAAGGCGTGCTTTGTTAAAGAATTCACCCAATATTCTAACACTATTTCGAAAAGCTACTGGATTGGTAGATTGCAATAGTTTACTGCCTGAAAATTCATTTGATCAGTAGGTATATTTCAACATTTTGATAGGTCTATTACCTTCAAAATTGTTTTGGAGTTTACGTAGGAAGAGTAAACGAATATTTTTGTCATGAATCTCCTGGGTAATAAAAGATCTAGATGCTATCATAATAACAAGCTTAGATGCCAATTCATCATCACTCAAACATGCTTGATAGAGATTGTCAAAACTTTTTCTAAAAAAAATATGCCTATTTATTTAGGTATATACTTATTGGGCATCAATGAGTAGCAATACTACTAAGTACTATTATGTATTATGTACTAATTTACTGTGGTGAAATCACTCTGTATTTCGTCGACTCGTTGTTGTGATCTTGTGTTGTCTTTTTTTATGTCCAAAAGTCATTAGTTGCAGAATACTTATGTCATGTGTATGCCAAGTTTTTCTGCTTAATAAAACCTAGTTTTGGAAGGTAATCTTTACAATTTATTAAGCAGAAGTATTATGGATAAATTCCTCAAACCAGAAAGATTTGATGCTGACCCTAACAAGCCTCATGCTGACCAAGAATGGGAACATTGGCTAACTACGTTTGAAAACTTTATCGCTTCCTTGAAAGATGTAACAGTTGATGATAAACTGAAACTTCTCATTGCACATGTGAGTCATTCTACATATGAATATATCAATCAATGTGATACATACGATAATGCAGTTCAAGTTTTGAAATCAGTATTCGTAAAACAGAAGAATGAAATCTTTGCCAGGCATTGCTTGTCTGCCCGCAAACAACAGAACACTGAATCTATAGACCAGTATATACAAATTTTGAAGCAACTAAGTAAAACCTGTAATTTCAAAGCAACTACCGCAAACCAGAATAGAGACGAATACATTCGAGATGCTTTTATAAATGGATTACAGTCACAACAAATTCGACAACGGCTTTTAGAAAATAACACTCTTTCCCTTGGAGAGGCTGAAACACAAGCTCGATCCTTAGAATCCGCGCAAAAACACTCCGAAGCTTATACAATGGCGTCAAACTTTGTTTGTGGAATTCAGGAAGAGAAACAAGAAAGTGGAACAGCTGATGACCAATCAGTTACTTCAGCAACTGCAAGTAAATGCTATTTTTGTGGGAATAAACGACATCCCAGAAGCATATGCCCAGCACGGGAAGTAACCTGTCGTAATTGTAATAAAAAAGGTCACTTTTCGAAGGTTTGTCTTAGTAAGAATTCGAAGTATACGGCTGCTTCTATGATCGAACCCACGAATCTCCTAGCTGCTGCACCCAAATGTCTCACTAAATCCTTGACGAAAATCAAAATTAACAATTGTCTTGCTGATGCTCTCATCGATACTGGGAGTTCAGAAACATTCATCAATAAGACTTTTGTTCAGGATCAAAATATACATATACATGCAAGCAAAGGTCAAATCTCAATGGCATCTACGAATCTTCATTCAAATATAAAAGGACACTGCTTCGTGAATATTGAACTTTTGGGACACCTATATGAAAACTTCAAGATTTCGATTTTGTCTGAGCTGTGTGCTGATGTTATCATTGGTCATGACATATTATCACAGCACTCCAAAATTGAACTCGACTTTGGCGGTTCTAGAACACCTTTAGCAATATGTAGTTTAGCAGCAGCAAACATAGAACCAGTTTCTCTTTTTCATAATTTGTCACCAGACTGCAAACCCATAGCAACCAAATCCAGAAAGCAAACTGAAGAAGATGCCAAATTCATTTCTACTGAATTAGGAAAGCTGTTAGATGAAGGAATCATAGAAAAAAGCTGTTCACCATGGAGGGCACAAGCTCTCGTTTCTAAAACTGATACTCATAAAAAGAGAATGGTTATAGATTACTCACAAACAATAAATCGATATACTTATCTGGATGCTTACCCTTTACCTAACATAGAAGATGTTGTAGCTGCTGTCTCCAAATTTCGAATATTCAGCACAATTGATCTTCGTAGTGCATATCATCAACTACCGATCAAAATGGATGACAGGCGATATACTGCTTTTGAAGCTGATGGTCAGTTATTTCAATTCACAAGAGTTCCATTTGGAGTCACAAATGGAGTAGCATGTTTCCAAAGAGTTATTGATGAAATAATTAAGAATGAAAAGCTGACCGGTGTCTTTGCCTACTTGGATGATATTACAGTTTGTGGTAAAACAGAAAGAGAACATGACGAAAATCTGAAAGAATTTTTAAGAGTGACACAAAAATACAACTTAACAATCAATGAAACAAAAAGCACCTTTTCTACAACAGTTATCAAGTTACTTGGATACTTAATTGAAGATGGTTCTATCAAACCTGATCCCTCGAGATTAGAACCATTGACTAACTTACCAGTTCCAGAAGATTCTCAATCATTACAGAGAGTTATAGGTATGTTTTCACATTACTCTAGATGGATTCCTCGATTCTCGCAAAAAATACACAATTTGGTGAACACAAAAACATTTCCTTTGTCATCTTCTGCTATTTCTGATTTTGAGAACATTAAAACAGATATCATTCACTCTGTTGTGATGTCAATCGATCCAACTATTCCTTTCGTTGTGGAAACTGATGCATCAGATCATGCTATAGCTGCCTGCTTGAGTCAATTGGATAGACCAGTTGCTTTCTTTTCAAGAACTTTGTCAACCAGTGAACAGCGACATTCAGCAGTTGAAAAAGAAGCTTATGCGATAGTAGAATCTCTCAAGAAATGGCGACACTACTTAATTGGAAAGAAGTTTACTTTAATTACAGACCAGAAATCTGTTTCCTTCATGTTCGACATGCAGCATACTAGTAAAATAAAAAACGAGAAAATCTTGAGATGGCGACTAGAACTTTCATGCTATAACTTCGACATTGCTTATAGACCAGGAGTTAGAAATACCGTTGCCGACACTCTCCAGAATATGTGGATCTACAAGCAGTGACACATTATTTGACTTACACCGAGCTTTGTGCCATCCTGGTATCACACGTATGTATCATTGGATCAAATCAAAAAATATGCCGTATTCAACGATGATGTTCGTAAAATGACAAGTTCATGTCCAAGTTGTGCTGAAATAAAACCAAAATTCATAAACAGGCATGGTAAACTTATCAAGGCCACTCAACCATTTGAGAGATTGAATATGGATTTTAAAGGCCCTTTACCATCATGTACCCGAAATATTTATCTTTTAACGATAATTGATGAATTCTCAAGGTTTCCATTCGCGTTTCCATGCGCTGATACATCATCCAGTACAGTTATAGCTTGTTTGAGCCAATTATTTTCAATCTTTGGTATGCCGTCATACTTACATACAGACCAAGGACCTTGTTTCATGTCCAAGGAACTGAAATCATTTCTTTATGACAGAGGAGTTGCGACAAGCCGTAGTACTCCGTACAACCCAGAAGGTAACGGTCAAATAGAACGCTACAATGGTATAATTTGGAAGACTATATCCTTAGCATTGAAAACAAAAGGTCTTAGAATAGATCAATGGGAGAAAGTATTACACGAAGCCCTACATTCCATACGATCATTACTTTGTACTGTGATCAATTGTACTCCACACGAAAGAATGTTTAATCATACGAGAAAATCATCGTTTGGACCAGCACTACCTAGTTGGCTTTCTGAACCAGGACCAGTTTTGATCAGGAAACATGTGAGGAAAAATAAATATGAACCACTTGTAGAGGAAGCGGAACTTATCGATGAGAACCCTGAGTATGCCCTAGTACGACTGTCAAATGGTCGTGAAACGAACGTATCCATAAAACATTTGGCTCCTCGGGGAAATCAACAATTATTATTTCGCGAAACTCAAACTGTCCAATGACAAACGGAAGAAATAGAACCTGATTTACCAACTCGAAGCAATATGATAGATGATCAAACAATCATTCCAGAAGAACCAAATCTGATGAATTCAACTCAAACTGAAAATCCTGTTGAAGAGAGAAATTCAGGTGAAGGCAGAGCTACTAGAATTCGTCGAAGGCCCAGATATTTAGAAGACTATGTTTCGAAATAATACTGGGGGAAAATGTGGTGAAATCACTCTGTATTTCGTCGACTTGTTGTTGTGATCTTGTGTTGTCTTTTTTTATGTCCAAAAGTCATTAGTTGCAGAATACTTATGTCATGTGTATGCCAAGTTTTTCTGCTTAATAAAACCTAGTTTTGGAAGGTAATCTTTACATTTACTACTACAGATATATTATTATGTGAATTATAATCACTCTGACTTACTCAACTTCTTCACTTGTTTGACAGTCCTGTTTCCAGTTCTCCAGAATGTACTTAATTTTTTGATTAAATTTTATACCATCATCATTGATATTGAGTTCCTTGACTTTGTTAATGATATCATTATATTCAGGGGCATCCACAAACAGGTTATCATCTATTGGGGGCGAATGTAAGTTGTTGGATGTATTACTAAGAACAGGGCCCACGTTATTGCCAGGAACATGTTGATTTCTATTCAAGTTTAACCATCCTCTTCCTCTGCCACCAACTGAGCTCTTTGACATTATATTTATGTAGGATTGTGAATTGGTTTGTTATATTGATGCACCTCTGATGGACTGACCTTTTTTCTCACAATTTATCGTTTGATGCGATTATTCTTATTGATAGATAAATACAACAAACTAATAACTATAAAAATGCCTACAAATATCTGAAATATCCGATATTTTCTCCCTTAACCTGAAAGAAAAAACAAAAATCAACCTTTGTTTATTTCTTCTTTTTTTATTACTTTGTTCGTGTTTCCGCTAGACCACAGGGCACAGATTAAGACTCTATCAGGGCACTCTAATGGTATACCGAATTTATTTCCACCGTAGATATGCATGTGTATGCATATCAATACAGGGTGATGATAATTCCGAGATAAATGTCAGAATTATTATACAGGGTGATTCAAAACCAATTCGAGGATATATTGTTAGGATCAAAATAAGACTTTTTCTTCAAATAAACATGTGTCCTAAAATGGACCCCGAGCTACATCTACTGTAAGTTATAGGTAAAAAAAACGATGATCTAAAATTGTAACTAAAATAACAAACCAAATCTTCTGGAAATTGGCATCTCATGTCTTTTTAGATACCTACTTCATTTCCTTCTTGCCCCGCAGATGATGTAAACCCAGTTTTTGGGGGGGGTTTGGAGGGGGAGTCCACACTTGATGTATATATTGGCCCCAATTTCATGTTTAAAATGAGAAACTGTGACTTTGAATTACATGATCTCTTGGCCATAAAAAAGTAAGAATTTGGTCTCCCGCATCATTTTCATACAACTAACTGTTTGCCAGAAAATCGTAATCAACGAAAGGGGAATTCACGACATCGTTTTCGAACGCATGCATACGGAGGTGATCGTATGTCGAAACGCATTTGAGACTGCCATCTGAAAATATTGCCGAAACCCTTTGTGTTGAGATAAGGAAAATTTGTACATGTATATTACTTTTTCATGTCCGATTTTCAGATGTAGAGAATTTTTCAAAATACAGGTTAGAGGCATGTGGAATATGAGGGGCTAGGGGCATTTCTTTCCCCAACTTTTTTTTATGCAATTTTCGGCAGTTTGACATTTTTCACTAATGAAGATATCAAACGAGTCAATTACGTGAATTTCGTAGCTGATTTGTGACCATATAAGTATTATTGTTTGACAGATATTTAAGAGTGACGGGCGAAGTCAACTTGATTACTAAATTTTGTACATAATCGTCAATTGATAGAACTCATGATTTTTCATCAAACATAAAAAAAATCTTGTACGTCGTAACACTTAGGAAACACAATTTGTGTAACTATCTGTGTTGCTTCGCTCTGTCTGCATCCTGCAAATCCCATCGTTACACAAAATGACGCATTTCTCAACTGGTTTCTTAAATATAACCGGTGAGGAAATGCGTCATTTTGTATACAGATGGGATTTTGCGGAACGGACGTGAAAGATAACGGTCGCCCGGAAATTTTCTGTAGACTTTAACCTCTCGTACTGCTCGCTCGAACGGACCGGGTATAGTTGATGCCTCTTCGCTCTAGAAGCTAGTAATAAATCTTGAATGGAAAATTCGAAAAATGTACGATACCCGATAGATATTCGATATGATGATCATTAAATGTTCCTATTGGTCAAATATTCGGAATTTTTTCGAATCGTATTTCGGAATAGAAATGTACGCATTGGTTAAAATCTTGAATGAAGAAGAACAATGACGATTACAGATTCCAAAATTGATACGATTTATTCTAAACCCGAAGTTTTGTGGCTGGCTTAATATCTGACCGGAACCAAATCGAAACCAATGTGAAAATAAAATTTTGATCTTCATAATCAATCATGAGCCACCGTGCCATAAGGATGCAATGCAACAAAAAATCCGTGTGGCAAGGATTTTTATTCCTGTAAAAATGTTTTGTAAATATAAGTTTGCATGAAATACAATGGCCAGTTAGTATACAGCGTACCTGCTAACCTGCTTGATATGTAGAAGAAAGAATTAAAGACGAAACCACTAAACTGTGTGAGGCGATAATCCAAGCAAGAAGCGATCGATTAGTCATCAACTCCGCCAGGGAAATTCTCCCGATGGACATTCTTGACCTGATATAACTGGAAAGAAATCATCAAGAAGACGCTGAAAACGATTGAAGATCTGCCCAAGTAAGAGGGGATTTCAATCGTATGTCTCATCGTATAGAGACAAGAATCAGAGAGTGCTGGAACTGCACCTGGAGATCCAAGGGGAAGACTCTAGATCCCCGCGACAATACTCTGTAGTAGATGACCAATATAGGCTGAAGGGAAAATTTACCCTGGTCCTTTCTTCATTTTTGAATTGAGGGAACTAGTTCGCCGAGAGAAACGTTGTTCCCCGCTGCTTCTCTCGATAGATAACAAGAGAAACAGAAACTGAGTTCCGTCTTCTCTCATAGTCCACCGAAAATATCAGTGGAGAGCGACATTGTAAATATATTACACCCAACATTCCCTCGAGGGAATCGTTCTCTCTGGAGGCAGTGTCAGATCAGGAAAAGGTGGTGGTACTAGTGCATGGTACTTTGAGCTAGAATAACACTTCCAGTTCGTGAACAAGATCAAGAAAGAACCTGAAGGGGCGCCGGGACTTGATGGGATAGACGTAATTCTCCTAAAAAACTTGTCTCGCAAGGCTATAGTCCAATTGCATTAAATTATTAATGCCATCATTGAGGGCCAGCACTATCCAGAGTATCTGGAGACTGAGATTCTTGTACCGAAACACACCCTGGCTGGAAAAGATCCAAAAAGGCCAGGAAGGTACCGCAGTATATATAGTCATGAAGCTCTTCTCAGGTGAATTGAGGCCTAGAGGTCATAGACTTGAACCTGATCCCTGAAGAACAGTTCGGGTTTCACAAGGGACATATAGCACTACATCCCGAGTCGTGGCCCGAATTGTTCACCTTAAATCAGAAGAAAATACAGTGATGGTCATGATGGATGTCAAAAAGGTTTGTACTTCTTTATTCGTTGTGAAAAATGTGATACACTCTGATAATAAACTATTGTCATGTTATTGTATAAAAGCAAGAGTAAAATGAAAATAAGTTATTCCGAAAATTCCTTTTCCATTGTAGTTCAGAAATATTATTGTTTTACATTGAAACAATGCATAAAATATGTTCGACTGTTCTTGACATGATTATCGAGAATGTCGGCTGAATGAGAATCTAGTCGATCAGCTCTGGCCCTGAATAGATTCCTTTCTTATTCAGCCGACATTGATATATACCATCTTTACCTTTTCAGAATATATGATTAGCAAGTGAATATGCCAAAGAAACATGATATAGAGATATAAAGAAGTTTGAAATATCTGATGAGACTAATTTCTTCAAGATAAAATATGCGACATATATCCCTAATTAATTATATTAGAAAGAATTATGTTTATTGATTCATAGTAAATGAAGAAATTTCTATGCATTTTTGACGTACGAACACACTGGAAGTCAATATATTAATTTTTATATACTTCTCGACATTTATGACGGCATTATTGGATTGATCACGTCATAAAAACTATACGCCACATATTCAGAGCAAACACCCGGTATCACACCATTAAGTATGATATGAACATAGGGTCACACCTAAGTCACACTTTGCTTCACAAAAAATCCCACGGAATATTTCAATCCACCTTATGCTCCTGCACTACTAATTAATTGCTTCTGCACTCTGCAGTTCGGCATGAATTATTTGTTGCGCTCTGCCTGCTTTGCGTCCTTTTTCAAGATAGACCAATTCAGGTAGTATTGAATTCGTGCATTGTTTTAGTAGCCGGCGATGGTTATCCAGGCACAGTACTCTTTAATATGAACCTTGATATTTTGATCACATTTCGTGCAATCAGCTATAATTCTCAACCAATGTTAGCCAATAGGCTCGTAGCACTTTAGTCATGTGTCACGAATTCCTTTATTTCATTGGAACCACAAGTATTGCAATCCGCCATCAACTACGAAAAGTAAGCAGCAGTGTTGCCAATGTTGGTAAATTTCTTTGCCAATTTGGTGATTATTTTCAATCAACTGTTAAATCTGGTGATTTTTCACATAGAGGCCATATGCCATGGGAAGAGAACAGTGGAACTATCAAATTCACATTCCTAAAAATTCCTAACAAACATCGACATTGGAAGGAACGGGCGGTAGAGTGTGTCTGCATCACCTGCATAATATGTATATTTATCTCCGCCGTTTGATATATTCGCGAGTAATAATAAACACCAGTACCACAGCCGTCTCCAACTATCGAAGACGGCTGTGCCAGTACACAACAGTAACAGTTTTGCTCTCAGACGAATAATGGAAATCGCTGTATAAGACCTATATATAAGACGAGTCTTTCATTGCAACAAAAAATCGTAACAAAAAATAACGATGGATAAAGTCGATGAGGAGAGCGGCGATGATTTTTGTCAGTATACTGTACTCTGAAAGATTCAATTATGAAATTGGGGATAATTTGATGAATAAAAATGCAAATTACAAAATTACTTATGAACTGGAATGAAGCTTCGTATACCTTTTTATTTCGATTGGTAATCTGTATAATAACTTTTACTGAGGTGCTTTCGACTTAAGAATATTTAGTTTTAACCCTGTTTGAAAATGGGTATATATTTATTCAAATAATCATACTTTGTTTGATTTCAGTCTTCCAATTTCTCTTCATACACAATAATATTCCAGAAATAGCCTAGTTTTCAATTTTTTCTAATATATTTCAGAATTTGTGAAATCTGGTGATCATTTTTAAAATCTGGTGATTTTTACTCAACATATCTGGTGATTCAAAATTTCAACTGTTGGCAACACTGGGAAGCAGTTTGTTCAGTTGCCATCTTAGTGGTCACGTGATCTCTAGTGCTTTAGTGGGTTTCGAATAATTCAGGTAGGGTTAGCAGCCTTCTTCGATTTTATACTCAAAAACAATTGTTAGTGAAAGTGAATTCGTTATATTCGAATATCGGTGTTTTTTTTACATAAATTTACACCAGCAAATGTAAAACATTTGAATTTCTAAGTGTTTTCACAAGTTTTCGGTAACGAATGTCAACACAAAATTTTATGAACAAGCTTCGAAATGGCGTCTTTCCACATGGTGATTATGAAGGATTAAGTTTTTAGTCAAACTTAGAACTGTATCTTTGCATTCAAACGGAATGTTCAGTTACAAACACTCAAAATAATACTTGATTGAAGGGTTTGGATATTTTAATTCTAATAAATCCTTTGTTTTATATGATATTGCGATGTTGCCATTACAGAATACAGGAATGATTATAAATGAAATTCTACATTTTATTCCAAGGTCTTTAACCGGTACCTGTACTGGAAATAATAAAAATAAAAAGAAAATATAAATAATCAGTAATTGGTTGTTCACTGATGAGTGAAAAAGTTGGATTTTTCTTGTAGAACTCAGATGAAAAATTTATAAATACAAATAATAATGACTCATGTGAGAAAAGTAGAACACACCCTGTGTATAAAAAAAAGAGAGTTATCTGTTATGCATCCTCCTACTTGACTTGTTTGTCATGATATGGAAATGATTGACATTTTCAATTTCAGTTTAGCTTGTAAATAGTACCAGTGTACATACTGTACAGAGATAAAGAAAAGGATGAGTTCCAGTAATCGTGCCACCTCCAAGGGTGGCAAAGGAACAAAGGCTGATAAATCTCACAAGTCAGATAAAACAGAAAGTGGTAAGTGATTTCTGCATGAAAAATTCAAGTATATAATGTTCATTTTCAGGAAAGAGTGGTGAGAAGCAGCATCAGAATATGAGCAACAAGAATGAAGATCCCAGTATTAAAGACAAGGTTAAACAGTTGATAGAAATGACACAGAGGTCTGAAGAAGAGGTTTGCCTTGCCCTTCATGAATGTGACTATGAATTGAATCAAGCCATAAATATGCTGTTTGAAACCATTGGCACTGTGAGTACAAATACAGTATTTCCATAAAATTTGTTTGTGTAAAGGTCAGCTTGAAATTTATTACTACATTGACAATATATGCATGACTTACATAGGGGATTTTCTATGAAAAAAACATAAATAACCCTTCTTTGGGCATATTTAGATTCTCATGGTAAGTACAACTATGTTCAATATATATTTTCATTCATTCATATAAAACTGATGGATATTCAGTAAGCTCTGAAAAAAGAAATGGGCAAAAGTTGTCTGTCTCCAGAACTATTGATCTTATTACTGTGATATTTTGAACATTTTTTTAACTCATCAGTAACACTTCTGTAGCAACATTTTCATTCAGATTTTGATTTGATCATTATGGACAAAATGAGAAGGCAGTTTTTTCTCTGCTAGGTTTTTTGCTGGTCAGTGTATTGGTTGTTGAAGAATGAGATAAATTGAATAATTCCACATTTTTGTAATATTCTGTTCTGCCTTCTATCAAATTGGAGTCTTGAAACAACACATGTTAACTGATTTAGTTCACTTCGAGTGAAATATTTCAGTTAGTTCAGATTGTTAGAATCTCACTATTGTCATTAAATATACTCACCTGACTCATTGAATATGAAAAAGTCATTGTCATTTCAATAAAATACTCTATTTTCTGCAGAATCCCATGTTGACATTTTATAAATACCAAATAATTGGCTGATGAGTCACCAAAAGTATTTTGTCCACAAATATTATCATGGAATTCAATCATAACAGTATATCATATTGTCTCACAAAATACAACATTCCTATTATTCAATATGGATGGTTTGTTTGAGAGTCTTTCCAGAATAAATGTTTAGTGAAATGAGGAGTAATTTTTCTGCAATATAAACTTGGTACTGAAATGAAAATTCAGAAATTCAAAAGGTATTGTACAACATTTCTTCTTAAATATTGTTGCTCCACTTGAAATCATATATCTGAAATTGATAAAAAATCGTAGGTTGAAGGTCCTTATATCATTTTACTTATAAGATAACTATTGATGCTTGATATTTTCATTGCTTTTTATTCTATGTGAAAATCTACTTTACACCTCACCAACTTCTCATGATCAACAATGCACAGATCAGACTCTTTTCAGAATACTGTTCCTACATAATATGAGGTTCAGCATCTAAACATATGCTGATGCCATTATACTCCATCATTCAGTGATGAACTGCTCGCCTTATTGATGATGCCACACTCACTAATTGACTGAATTGAAACATCACAGAAATCTCGGTTATTATTCCATCACTAGCAATACCAGTCAGACAACGTCAATAAGCATAATCAGCACAATCAGCACTTATTTTTGTAACTCAACGTCATCTAATGACCTTGGTGACCGCGAATTCTTTATGACCTTCAAAAGTTCAAAAAATACCAATACCTACCTTCTCTTCCTATCCTTGCTAGGTATGCAGGATGTTTTATGACCACAATGGGCTAGTGGACTGATAATAAATGATTGGCATTCAATTACTCCACTGTGTCCTTTGGAAACTAAATTAATTTTTGCAACACCTATGCTTTTTTATGTAAATAATGAGTCTATGCCTTGTTTGAAATTGTTGAATTTCTGAGCTCATTTCAAACGGACCTTCATGGCCGAAATTTTGGCGATACGTCGAATAAATGGCAAGGTCAGTTTTTATGCTGGTTTGTTATTGGTCAGATGATCTTCCATTTCCACTCATGAAGCAAGGTTGTCAAGTCAACAATTATAATCAATATATCAAAAAGATGTTCCAGTCCTGTCGTTGAATCTTTCGTGTGTTCCAAGAGATAAATAAATCTATTGCAATCAAAGAAAAAAAAAATGTTTTAAGAGAAAAATAATTTGGGGGGGAGTTAGCTATCAGGTCCAATAGCAAGAAATCTAGAAAACCTTACGTCGAAACACATCACAATATGCCCCGAAAAAAATTCAATTTTTTTCCTTTATTATTAGGGATGTCTTTGAAAATATTGATTTGGCAAGTGGTCATTATTATTTCACCCTGTAAATGTCCAATATTAATTAAAGAGGAAAATGTATCGTCTTATCCCTAAGAACTTTTCTATAACAAATAACAAAGCGTTACAGACTCGGAATCCAAAATATTTTGAAATAGACGACGGAGAACTTTCCTTTAGTTGAATTTTCATAAAATGAGTTCGGAAGTGCTAAGTTTTATGTCCACTCTGTACAGAATGGCAATCGATAAAGGCCAATTCGTTTTTATTATCAAATTAAAGCAAATTCTTATTTTCGGGCCGGCAAACTGTGGTTTAAAATCTAGTCTGAAATAACTGATGATGAAGAATATAGCTAGCGAATAGCTAACTACTAGAAAACAAATAAATAATTGAAGAAGAAGAAGCCAAATTTGCGTTGTTGTTGATTATATCATGAAAAATATCGATGATTAACTAATTAACAACTATAAACCATAGGCTAACAAATAACTGGAGATCAAAAACTGACTCAAGTAAAACTGGTAAATAAAAATACAGTCTGTCCAAGATAAGGTTGAACAGCATGGGAATCTCGGAAACAGTAGGAGATACGAAGTCGTTTAAATGAGGAAAAACTTGTGCATTCGGAGGCTCATATCAAGAGCCTTCGAAAATTTTCAGAATTATTTCTAGTTTTTGAGTTATATTAGAGATACAGAAGAACTGAAAATATTTTTTCGTAGCAACATTTGATGACGTTTAACGTTGTGATACCGATTTTTTTTATGCGACGTTTCGTATCCGTAGAACCATCATCAACTTTTGTTTTTTAAATACGGTCCTGATAATTGATGGATTAGTTATTCAATACTGAAAAGTGAATAAAAAATATTTCACTACATCATTCAATGCAGCGCTTGAAATTGTTGATGAATTCTTACACTAATTACTTTAACAGCTCAACTTTGACAATACCTACAGAAACATTCATAACAAATGTTCAAAATGATAACCATTATTTTCTGAACAAAGATATCCTCTTCTCACAGTTGCTTCTAAGATATTACTAGGCATTTCTGGGGTTATTTTATTGAATGCTTCGATGACACTGTCCTTTAGTTCTTCTTCATCATCAAAGTTATTTGCGTATACTAAGTTTTTGATATATCCCCAAAAGAAAAAATCCAGCTGTGTCAAATCAGGCGACCGCGCCGGCCAAGGGACTGTAGAATGAGTACCAATCAATTTTTTTGGATAAAAACGCACGGACTTCTCTGGAATTATGTACCGGATCTTGTTGAATCCAACAGTTCTGAACTTGCGCAATCGGTGAATCATCCAGAGCTTCCTCAAGATGATTTTCAAGCAAATTTCTATAACGTTCGGAAGTCTGTGTTTCATGGTAAATAAAAGGACCAATAATTCGTGTACCAAATATTGAAACCCACATATTAAAGCCGAAACGGTGTTGGTGTCTCGCTGTAATGTATAAATGTTCATTTTCTCGTGAACAATAATGTGTACTTTCTCTATCGAAGATACCATGATTAGTGACCATGCTATCATCATTCCAGATGATTGTTCAAGGGAAATCTGCAAAATTTTGACATATCCTGGTATACCACTCACAGAATGTCCTGCGCCTTTCGTCATCGCCTGGTTGTAGCGCTTGACATATTCTGAATTTGTATGGATGGAATTTTTGTTTCCGCAAAATGAAATGGGTTGTTGATTGAAACCAGTTGATGAGGTATTAGTGTGCTGACTAATTTTCCTTCAAAATAAGTGGAACTGATGGCATTTTTCCTTTGGAATTTCGAAAAAACATTGATGATGACTAAAAATCGAAACACACCTAAACCACCTTGTATAATACATGGTTGAATTTAGAATAAAAGAACCTTTCAGAATCTGTGAAAAAATTATCAGGACCGTATTTGAATAACAAAAGTTGATGATGGTTCTACGAATACGAAACGTCGCATAAAAAAATGTATATCACCACGTTGAACGTCATCAAAAGTTGCTATGAAAAAGTATTTTCTGTTTTTTTTTGTATCTCTAATAATAACGGAGAAACAAAAAATGAAATGGATATTCAAAAAATTCACTTTTTTCGATAATACTCAAAAACTGAAGATAAACTTCAAAATTTTCAATGGCTCTTGATATGAGCGTCCAAATGCGCAACTTTTTCTCCATTTAACCGACTTCGTATCTCCTACCGTTTTCGAGATCCCCATGCTGTTCAACCTTATCTTGGACAGACTGTATACATAACCACAAAATCAGATCAGCTCTCGGTGTGCCTGTCAGTATTTTATGTGGTGTGGACGGGCTCAAAGTATTATGCGCTGTTGCAAGATAGTCTGCAACGTTCCTAGAAAACATCCGTTTTATAAAGGAACGAATTCATTTGAAAAAAACTACTGACATAATGCATTCAAAGAACAATTTCCGGAAATCTAGACATGTTGATAATGCCGGCAACGTCGTGCTGATACAGGGAATCTTATTTTAACTCTTTGTACGTGGCTTTTCATAAGGTACATCATAGGGATCGTGAAGGAGCCGAGTCCTTATTTTATTCACTTGTTTCTGAAGTGAAATTTAAGCTTACGAAAAAAAAACGTATACAGGGCATTAATATTGCACGAAACTTCGAAGTCATATCTTTTGGATCTAGATAAAAAAAAAAAACATAAAAACATATGTCCGAAAACTACCAATGAGGAATTTTTCGGACCTATTACAGTTGATGAAGTATTACTAGGGGCGTGCCCACAGGGCAAGTCCAATAGTTTCGTTGCACCAAAAATAGCTTCCAGTAGATTTTTTCTGATGTGTAATTTTTTCAATTGGAATTACTACTCCAAAAATATCCAAGACTGGTTAAATTTTTTGAGAGACACTTGGCACTGTCGGTTCAGGATTTTTTTAGAAATTAGTGAAAAGCAATCTTTTGAAGACTGTATCTCGGAAATGTATCGTTTCCGGACATTATGTTTACATGCACTTTTTTTCTTATTTCGACCCAA